TCGATGCGCTCGGTCGAACCTACGAACGAACCTACGAATGAACCTACGAACGAACCTCTACGAACGAACGGCTGGTTAATAAGTGGCGTCGATTTAACGTTAACGACGCAGGAACTTCAAATTAATTAAACGTTGCAGTTTGCATATACCTATATAAACACAACATATACACTAGCATTCATAACGTAATTCAGCTAAGAGAAAATATGCGTGTGTTTGTATACCTCTACGCGGAGAAATGTATTCCATCTATATACTTGTATATACATTCTGCAAAAGAACTACAACCTTGCCTACGTGTGTGTGAGGGTGAGAAAGGGAATGAGAGAGAAAAATGATTCGTTTACTCCATTTCGTTTCGTACCAACCCTACCAAGATCCAGTCCCGACGTATCCCAATTAATTTATTACTCGCGAGTAATTAACATGTTATTTCGCATAAAACGTATATTATTATACATCATGGGATCGTTTCGAGCTCTAGGGATATCTCGTTCAATATTCAATAGTGTACATAGATCGTGATGATAGCTAATAAACAATAGAAACGGGAGGCACATCGATTAGGGTGCATTTAAACGAGAAATGCGCAAAGTGTATTCAATTTGGCAACATTGATATCACTTATCTAGAAAATGTTCGATTACACGCTAGGACGAAATAAGAAAAGAAAGAAATAAATTAAGAGGGGAGGATATTTTGTTTTTTTTTTTTTATAAAAACGATATTGCTAGCTTGTAAGCTGCGAGCTCGCACGACTAGGACGTTACAAGATCAGGATTCGAAAAGTTAAACAAANCACTGATACTGACACGGCGACCCATGCGATCTCTTGCACCGACTGACTAACAGAGATGGATGATACGAATGTATACAGATATCTACTTCTCTCTCTCTCTCTCTCACTCTTACTTACACCGGTAACAGTTATACGTGTACGTTGCTGCATTCAATATCTATGTGCATGCCCGTCTATGTGTTTGCTTCTATATAGAAGAAGAGGTCGAGAGAGTAAACTAGAGGGAGAGAGAGAGAGAGAGAGAGAGAGAGAGAGAGAGAGAGAGAGAGAGACGATCTCTCGCCTCCGTAAGCGCTTCTGTCAACCATACGTCGGCTGCATTTGCAGTTGCAGCCGCATTGCTCGCGCGCTGCAGCGTCCCTCATGGCCGGAGTTGCAGGCCACGATGCGACTGTGTGTTCGTGGTGCATGCCGTTTGTCACCATTCAAGACGATGACGTCGAATGCCGCGCGAGTCTCACCGCACTGGCTCGATGCAAGCTCCAATGTTTAAGAGAGAGAGAGAGAGAGATAGAGAGAGAACTTCGAAGATAGAGTTGGCGATAGAGTTTCAGCTGAAATCTTGAAAGGTACCAAGAGACATAGACAAACTCTCTTCCTATTTCCTATTAATTTTTAATACAATTTCTTTGATTTGCTCGCTGATTTTTCTAATATAATTTAGCACATATATTTATAACGGAGTTAATAAACTTATCTGAAAAATATGTTTTATTTGAAATATTTATTTTAACTTTCAAATTATTATATTTTTTCTTTTTCTTTATTGAATAATTTACACGTCATCTCAAGGATTCGTCTTAAATTGAGGAGATACTTTTATCCATGCTTATGAAATTCTTAAATCGACTAATTTTCTGAAATTGTTCTCGATAGATCCTCTCGACCTCGATTATTGATCGTTGATTAAATATATATATACGTTGTATTTTAGGACAAACGATGAGGATAACATGTAAGTTGAAATACTTGATAGAATCAGATTGGAAAATCTTTGAGGAACAATACGAAATTATCGACAACGTCAGATTACTTTTTCTTTTTTTCTTCTTTTCTTCCTTATTCGATTAAAAATAAATTAAAATTCGTTGGAGAAAATTCACAAGTTCGTCACTCGATATTCGTTGCTGTAAGCTTAAATCGTGAGATATTTTTTTAATTACCGAAACAATAAATCCTTCGGCGAATCGATCGAGAACGAACTCGTTAACGATTTGTTCTTTGACGTGACTACTTCATCGAGAACGACGAAGAAATTAATTTTAGATGAAAATTAGCAGCAGTCCGAGAAAAATCGAGAAGTTTCAAGTTGGAAAGAAGGCGAATTTATCTTATTCTTTCAAAACGAAGTTATTCCAACTTGTAATTCACGTATACGTAGGGGGTGGTAAAATGGGGTGGATTAAAGAGAAAGAGAGAGAGAGAGATATCAATTCGCGAATTCAACCAAGTTCACAAATTAACCCAACTTAGTTTCGAACCCATAGATTACATTATAAAGTTCGCAACGTTCTGCATACTATTTCTTAGTTCTCTTTGAAATTAATTTCATATTAGGAAGTGTTATATATCAAAGGAAATGAAATACGACATCAATTCGCATACGTCCAAATGAATACATAGCGAAATATACAAGAGAGAACGCGTTCGTATTTTTGCATAAAGGTTTATAATATAAATGCTGAAAATAAAAAGGAAAAAAGAGAAAGAGATATAAATTGTTTTTTTTTTTTTTATTCCGAAAATATAAAAGAAAAGATGGATCGATTTCTCGGTAAGAAACGTTCAGGATGAAACGCAAAAGTTCCGATGGTCGATTCTATCGGGGAAAGGTAAAAAAAAAATTCAATATCTCGACGAGACAAAAAGGGGAAAGGGTAGTGGCCGTTACGTCGGAGAGGTTAATTTCCATAACGTTCGCAGACCCGGCAGGTTGCCAACTGACCAATGTTGTCCGTTTGAAAAAAGGAATCGATACGCTTGATACAGAAATTTAAGCGAGCAAACAAAATTGTCCACGGGGACGAGAGCTCGTTAGGATTCTCGAATAATTTACTTGAAAAAAAAAAAAAAAAAAAAAAAAAA